CTTCATACGTGTTTCTTATTACAACTCCCAAATGCAAGAGCCTAAATAGCTATATGCGGAATTTGAGAATAAAAAAAAAAAAAAAACCCGATAAAATGGATTGAAAAGCTTTCTTAAAGCTGAATTTAATGTATGTTTGTGTTAATTGTTGGGGACTTAACTTTAAGCTACTTCCTAACAGGGCCTGGTATTGAAGCAAATTACCACACTTTGATTCTCTTAATTTTGATTAATTTGACACAATTACCCTATCATCCCTTTTTATGGTTAATAATCTATGAAAATTAATGTTAGAAGTAATTCATAAGTTATCCCTCCTGATAATGTGGTCTCATCAAAATCCCAGCAATCTAGGGGCGCCTGGGTGGCGCAGTCGGTTGGGCGTCCAACTTCAGCCAGGTCACGATCTCGCGCTCCGTGAGTTCGAGCCCCGCGTCAGGCTCTGGGCTGATGGCTCGGAGCCTGGAGCCTGTTTCCGATTCTGTGTCTCCCTCTCTCTCTCTGCCCCTCCCCCGTTCATGCTCTGTCTCTCTCTGTCCCAAAAAAAAAATAAATAAAAACGTTGAAAAAAAAATTAAAAAAAAAAAATCCCAGCAATCTAACTGATATCTACTAAGTTGTGCATTTTAATATGATAGCAATGTTGGCTTTTATTTTGAGATGATTTTATAAATAAATACCAAGCAGTGTTTCCCTTCAAGTATTCCCAGTAACCACCTCTTTTTCCTTTACTCTGATTGGCCTCTTGTCTTGTGTAGCTCAAAACTCTAAAGGGTAGAACTAGATACTCAGAAAACAACAGCTATAATGTATCAGTAGTTGAAAAGAAATTTAGGTCTTACTATATAGAGTTAGCAATTGATAGTTTTTTCTTTTGCTGACTTTTAGCCAGAAAAAAAAAAAAATCCACTATTCTGATAATCTCTTAGTGATGGGAGCCCTGTCTTTTTAAGTGCTTACAACCATGAGCTGGTCTGTCAGTAAGACATTATTGCCAAACCTGATCTATTAATAGGGAGATTTCAAGTAGCCAGTGTCTTCTAGTTTAGAATAGCTTAGTCTTGTTTCTCTTTTAAGATCTATAAACCTGAAATGCCACATATGTCAGAACAGGAAAACACTGCTCTTAGTTTACCTACTGTTTAAAGGAAAGCTGGAGAATGAGTAGCTAGAGAATGTGTTAAATACTGTTCACTGCCCACCTGCTTGTTGACTGGCATCCCTGTTTTCTTTATGTTTCTCTTTGTTGCTATTGTGCATTTTTCCTGAGGTAAAACGTTCATGGCCCTTGTCATTTATAATACCAGGATACTGATTTTAAATTGCCTTCACAAATGAACAAGAGATCTTGGTCCCAGAAGCCTTTCTTCCATGGTTACTGTTGGCTTAAGGAAAGACCACATCTATCTGGAGAATCCCTAACTCTCTGGAGATACAACATCTTGGAGAGGCCTGTTGGGGCATTGCTGTAGTGACAGTAGTTAACTGTGGTCACTGTGCAAAGCACCTTCTTTTTTTTTCCTGCTTTGGACCAGGCAGTGAACTAGCTGAAAATGGTCAATTTTCTCCAGTCCCGTTCAGCAGAAAAAATGTCCTCAGACTGAGGCCTGAGAAGTTTTTTTATACCTGTATGCTCTGTGATGAGCCCACAACTGGGTGAAGCCCCTCAGGAGCCAGGTGCTTTGAGTCCCTGAAGGCTTCTGGCCACTGGTCCTGTCACAGCTTGGAGCAAGGCCAGTTTTTTTCTTTGCTGATAGCTATTAGATAAGTGGTTGACAACCTGAGAGAAAGAGCAGTCAATACAACAGAGACAGAAAAAACCTGCAGGCTTCCTGAATCTCTTGGCTGTGTGGCTGTAGTCTGTGGTGGTTTAGTGGGAACAAAAGAGATCAAGTATGACCTTGGGGTAACAATACACGTTGCTGGGGAGAGGATAATTTAAATGTACTTACTGTTCTAGATTGTCAACTGCCAGTAGCCCAGTTCTCTTTTACCTTTTTTTGTCACACAGCTTACCGTGAAGATACTTTGAATGAGACCTGCGGTGACAACACGGCTTTTGGGGAACGCACAACTTTTCTTTTCAAAACTGCCTTGCATGTGATTTTCTAAAATTACCTGATCTAAATGTTGCCTCTCTGTGGTTCAAAACTACAACTTAAAGAAAATTTAAATATGAATTAAAACTTTTTAGCATTCTTGCCACTATTTCAAGGGTTGGCTGTGTGGCCAAGTGTGTCTAACTTTTTGTTAAATAAATGTTTATTGTGGAGAAGCTTGAAAGCAGGGGGAAGTTTAAAGCAGCAGCAACAACTGTAATCCCACATGTCAAACAGTGGTGGGCACACACAGGCACTTAGATATGTTCAGTGAATGTAGAGACAAACTGTAATATTATTCAAGCCTGCTTAAGATTCTCTCTCTGCCCTTCCCCCCTCGTGTTCGTTCTCTCTCTCTCTCTCTCACATAAACATTAAAACACATTCTTTACACTTTAGTTAGTTCTCTCTTGATTTTTTTTCTTCTTGGGTTAATGTGGCTAACTTGGTTTCATCACTTCTGTGAGTTTTGATTGTATTTCGTGCCTCCTGTCATCAAACTGTGCATACAGCATTACATAGGCATGTAATGAAAATAGGCCTGCCGTGGGGGGATTCACATGAGTCATTTGATATAGTTAATCTGGGCCACTCTGATATATCACAGTTCTGGCCGTGACTTAGCCAAATATAGTTTTAGGCCTTCAAAGTATTTGTTTCTCTTACCCAGTTGAGCATTGGGGTTTTTATTGGCATTCTTCCCATCTGCACGTGAGGAAGCCACATAGTTAAAATTTTTGAATAAGTGACGGCTCCTGCTTTGAACGTACTATTTAACTCCTGAGTAATAAAAGTGTGCTGTAGACGGAGTGGGCGACGAACGTATGGGTAGTGTAGCACGGTGGCTCGCTGCAAGCTGATGAGTTCAGAATTTGGATCCTGTAAATACCTTATCAACCTTGAGCCTCAGGTTCTGCTTCTGTGAAATGAGCAGGGGGATTGTGGGGAGAATCATCTCTTTCTTTTCCACATTCCTTTGCAGGGTTCAGTAAAGAGCTCTGAAGACTAGGAAGTGAGCCGAGGCTCCCTGAAGGGTGAAGTCTTAATGCTAGGCCGTGAAGGCAGGCTGAGATGTTATTCATTGGAGTGGATTAGAAAAGGCATAGCAGGTGTGGGAGCCAGTTGAGCACAGGACTTTGAAAGCATGTACAGAGAGGGGACTTGAGGAAAGCAGTGCATAAAAAAGTGTGTCAGAAGTCTAGAAGGACAGTCTGGAATGCAGGGGAGGAGGAGGAAGATATTATAATCCAGGCATGAGGTGTTGAGAGTACAGATGAGGATAATTGCCCAGGGAGTTGTGGGGAAAGGGCAGCTACAAGGGCATATCCAGGAAGAATCCTCAGGGCTGGTGTGTGGTGCTGTGGATGAGAGGAATTGCAAGGGTGTAAGGCAGGCGAGAACTGTGTCATTCATTCATTCATTCATTCATTCATTCATTCATTCTTAAGATACTGAAATTGACAGTCTGCTGCTCCAAGGTTCTGTTCTAGGTATTGGGGACTGATCCCTAAATAAAACAGAAGTTCCTGCTCTTTTGAAGTGTATTTTCTAGTGTTAATTGTGTTAAAATTTTAGTGGCAGCAATTTTGGCACCTTGAGATGTCATTATCTAGCTCATGATTCTTTTATCCTGTCTAAAAGTCAACTGGGAAATGTCGATTTAAGCATATCCAATATCTTCAGGAAATCAATAGACAGTATTTTTATGTTTCAGGACTGTAAAGATACGAATGGAACTGGTAAACTGAAAATGCTGTATTTTACTGATCAAAGGAGGTGGGGTTACTATACATTTAGTAATTTGCCTCATAGTTTATACATTTCAGGGAATGTCATGAAGTTGGGACACCTAGGGACTTGTTGAGTTGTCAAAGGTTCCTTTGGTAAGCTTTTGGTGGCGTTAAAATTAGGTTCATTCACTAACCAGGAGGAAGTAATTAGATTGAACAAGACTTTAGTACTTGATGGCTTTTTTCCAACAGATTTTGTCAGCTTATTTTTGAATGAGTGCTGTGATATTTTAGTTTTCAGCCTCAATTTTCCTCAGTTCTTTAAGGTGAAAAAATTTTAAGCTAATACCAGATAACTCCTTGACAAAAAATGTTGACATAAGAAATAAAGAGGCTTAAAAACCAGAATATAATTTTTCATGGTGTTTTGAAAGCTTGAATTAGAAGAACATTTTATAATTAAAACTATGGTGCATTTAAATATCCATTTAGTTTGGAGAACTTTCCTTGTACCTAGTTGTATTTCATAGTGTTTTTATGGTAACCACAGTTAATCTGCTATAGAAATAGAGCATAAGAATTACTCATAATTCTTTTTTTTAATGTTTGTTTATTTTTGAGAGAAAAAGACAGAGAGAGAGAGGGCGGGGGGAGAGACAGAGATTGAGAGGAGGATGGGCAGAGAGAGGGAGACACAGAATCCTAAGCAGGCTCCAGGCTCTGAGCTGTCAGCACAGAGCCTGATGTGGGGCTCTTAATCCCTCTTTCTCAGTTTGTAGCATGCACCCTGAAAGAGCACCTACTTTTCAGGAGAGAGGGAGAGAGAGAATCCCAAGCAGGATCTACACTGTCTGCACAGAGCCCCATGTGGAGCTTGAACTCACAAACCGTAAGATCATGACCTGAGCTCAAGTTGGATGCTCGACCAACTGAGCTGAGCCCCCCCAGGTGCTCCTACTCATAATTCTTAATGAAGGAAATAAAGAGCTTTGGGCTTTATAGTACTGATAAGATTCTATGCAATAAAGGAGTGTTGAAAATATTCTAGAAACATGGTTAAGTTTCTTAACTGATATATGTATGTTACCTTGCAGTATCTGATTTTCTCAGTTTAAGATAATCAAATGTTTTTTTCTTATGAATGACTTGATTTTTAAAAAATTTTCTTTAGGTAAAAGTGCAGTTTTAAAATGTCTACTGGATGTTCACAAAATTTTTCAGGAAAATGACCCAGCTTACATTCTGAATGATCTCTACATCTCAGACTACTGTGTGTGGATTCAGAAAGCCAAGTAAGTTTTGAGTTACTTACGAATTTTACATGCCCCCATTTCTGGAATACCTCCTGACCCAGGAGGAAGAAAATGAAATAGCCTGTGAGACAAGTTGTAATGAAAAAGAATACCCCATCTAGATACCAAATGCTTTAAAAAGTGACTAGATCAACATGGGAAGCTTGGCGAATTGGCTTTGGGAAAGGTACAGATGGTAAAAATTTTACTGGAAAACATGGTTATAGCCTAGAAAGTAGATGTGAGAACAGACAGTTCTGATTGGTTGTGGCTATGCTATTGACTGTCCAATATGAAATCTCAAGATTTCATACGTGGGTGTCCAGACTTGTGTCTTTGGTGTACTCACAGTGGGCTGTGAGTGTGTGTGTATGCATGTGGGGGCACCTTGTGCAAACTCCATTAAGGCACCAGCCTAATCAGCCGTCATCCTGGTGAGAGTTGTGCACTCATTGGCAAACCACTGGCTTACAGAATCTGTTACACAGAGTATAAAAAGTACAACCTTCAATGCTTCATGTGATGATTCTTGGTAACACAGGTATCTACGGGTCTGAACTGTCACAAATAGGCTCCTTGCACCTGGTATGTAAGATTTTAAAAAAGCGTTTACCATTTCCTCCCTCAGAGAGGGAGTTTAAGAAGTTTATTAAGTTTAAAAGGAGGTGAGCTTTTAGGGTGCCTGGGTGGCTCATTTGGTTAGGCATCCAACTCTTGACTTCGGCTCAGGTCATGATCTCATGGTTCATGAGTTTGAGCCCTGCATCTGGCTCACTGCTGTCAGTGCAGAGCCCACTTTGGATCCTCTGTTTCCTGTCTCTCACTGCCCCTCCCCTACTTGCTTCCTGTCTCTGTCTTAAATAAAAATAAACTTAAAAACTGAACTTTTCTCTTGTGAAGAGGTTCAACAGACATATGCAAATTAACCATTTCAGTAGCAGGAGACGATTAACTGAGAGCATACAAACAGAGCTGTTGATGAGAACGCTTCTCACGGGTTATGGGGAATGGTGGCACGGTATCACTCGTGACTTAGAAGAAAAACAGCCACGATAGTTGTACTGTTGCTGTGATGGTAAATGAGTGCTTTAGCATGCCTTTAATGCCTGTTTTGAGTGAGCCATTATATAGAATTCACTTTTGGCCTCTGTTCACGGGGAAGCAGCCCTAATGCCGAGTGAGATGAGAAAACCTTGTGGCCATACCTGTGGTCGGGAAAAGCTGACGGTCTGCTCAGCATAACGCCTAATACCATACAGCAGGTGGTGTGGGGTCTGTGGTGGAAATCTCAGTGGCTCCAGATGGAGAATTGCATCTTTGACCCCTGAGGTCATCATGGCGTGTCATCACTCCCGTTTGATCCTCCTGCTAATTGAGCTTGTCAGGTACCCTGCTGCCATTTCCTGTTGTTTTCATAATAAAATTAAATTGAAATAGTCTATTTGTGTGGGTTTAGATTTTTCTTGTTCCCTTCAGGGTGAGGATTTTATAAACATGCAGTGAGCACTGAGGTTTGTTGTGAGGATCCCATTTCTAGGAGTGCCTCCTTTCTGTATGGCATTCCTCATTAACTAGAGAAAAGATTGTGTTCCATTAAAGTAGAAGGGCGTGTGCCCCTGTGTGTATGTGGGGATTACCACACCTCCTTGTGCTTAAAAAATCCTTTTTCCCTTGGTTTTAAGTTGCAGGAAATGAAATGAAATTCTTATCTTCCTAATAATTGTTATGATAATACTAATTTTTTCAAAGAGATAATGGATTGGGAAATGAGACAGGAGAGGGATACCAGCAGGAGTCTTCAAATTACTTTTTTTTTTTTTTAATGTTTATTTATTTTGAGAGAGGCGGGGAGAGACAGCCAAGCAGACAGAGAATCTCAAGCAGGCCCTGAACTGACAGCACGGAGCCCGACGTGGGGCTTGAACCCATGAACCTTGAGATCATGAACTGAGCCAAAATCAAGAGTCTGATGCTAATTGACTGAGCCACCCAGGTGCCCCTCTTCAGATTACTTTGGAAAAGAATTTTTTTATTATTATTTATTTATTATTTGAGAGATAGAGTGTGAATGGGGGAGGGGCAAAGACAGAGGGAGACACAGAATCCGAAGCAGACTCCAGGCTCTGGGTGGTCAGCACAGAGCCCAATGCAGTGCTTGAACTCACGGATCATGAGATTGTGACCTGAGCCGAAGTCTGATGTTGAACCAACTGAGCCACCCAGGCACCCTAGAAAAATTTTTTGGACTTGACCAATTTGACCATAACTTTCCTTTCCCTAAACAGGCTGTATTGGTTTCACTTTGTGTGTTACATTTTAACTCTAGTTGAATCTGGCTATTTTTTTCTTTCTCTTGAAATAATACATTTGTTCATTTACCTGATTTTTATTCAGTTTTCTGATTTAATCCTTAATTTTTCAAGCGTAACATAATTGAGGTTCCATGGTCATCTTTACCCTGAACTGTCTTGGCTCTAAATCATTTATGCTATAGTGAATGTTCATGATTTCCATAACTAATTTCTTCTTCATCATTCATCTTCTGGTTTCTTTCTTTCCCATAGGGTTTATCAGTGAGATCTTGCACCCTATTTTTATGTTTTAAAATAGTTCTGTATTTTCTTTAATTTCTATTCGATGATTTTGATTATAAAGACTGAAATTTTATTTACAATATCAGACAAGTGCTAAATTCTAATGAACACAAAGAACAGCATTTCATTTTTATAGTCTGACATTAACTTTGGCAAAAACTTGTTGGAATTGGGTTGCGAAGTCATTCTTATATTCAATTAATGAAGTTAGGATAACAGTTATCCTGCATCTTGCTTTATACTGTGTAGTTCTTTTTCCTTGTGATGCCTGTGTCTTGTAGAGCATATTTGCAGATTTTCAAAACTGAAGGTCCTATATTCTTATTCTGGGTTAAAGTCTGCAAATTATTTTTCTGAAAAGGAACACCCCCTGCCATCCTTCACCGTAAGTGTCATTGGAAGTTTCGAGAATGGTGGTCACTGCAGCAAATGCTCCCTGGGTGGCAGCATGAGGAAGTGATTTGCTTGAAGTCATGTAGCATCTCTGAGATAGGTGTGTGATAGTGTCAGAGTTTCTGGATCTGGATTTCATGTTTTCCCAGCCATGCCTCCTAGATAACCAGTTTGTCTTTACCCATGGCATGTGGGGGGAAAATGCCAGAAGACACAAGTTCTCCATTTAGAGAGCTTTTTCTATTGGAAGAGGAGTTAATGACTCACTCATCTTCCTCCTAGATGTTCCCATAGCTTTTGGTTTAAGATCATGTAGGCATATTTCACGCCTGCCTCATTTTGTAGTAATTGTAGTGCTTATCTCTTTCCCCTTCTACAATTTTAAAGTCCATGTGAATGAGCATCTCTCTGGGCCTGCCAAAGTCCTTGGGAGCACAGTAGGTTTTTGTTGAATTGAATGGTACTCAGTACAGCCAGTTACATGAGCATTTTTCATCGTTTAAAAAAAAAAAAGAAAAAAGCATAGCACTCTAAAAACTATGCATTGGCTCTTACTTAGTTTAATTGACATTTCCAGCTACATTCAGTGGATTTTGCCCTTCCTTGATTTCTTTCCTGGTGGGCTTCCTTAGCAGTAGCAGGGATTGTTCTGACCCTCTGAGAGTTTACACCCTTTTATATAAACGTGGCTAGAAAAGCATGAGCTGTAGTGTATGTGCCAGTTCTTTCTTTTCATTGGCGGCAATGCTTGAGCAAGTCACCTTCGTCAGTTTATCTAATGCAGCCAATGTTAGTATTTTAGTATTTCCTCTATTTTCCAGTGCATTTTTAAACCACTGGAAGTAATAGTGCACATGTCATTTTGTAACTTGTTTTCTCTTTATAATAGTACCCTATGAGTAATTTTCCTTTACCACATAATATCCATAGCATAGTATGTTTTTTAAACAATTTGTTTCTCATTGTAAAAGGAGTATGCGCCCACTGAAGAAAATGTGATAGTGCATGGTTTTAATGCGTGGGGTATTTTGAAACACAGGGGGTCAAGTAGGGTATTATTTTGTTGTTGCTACGTGGAGAAATTTTGGTTGCTTCTTTTTAAAAAACTGAAAATCTAAAATCTTGGGTGTCTTTCAGTCTCAGTTTGAGCTAGTCATGAAGGTCTTAAATCATACTTTTTCTAATATAGTTTTTTTAAGGTAGTTGGTTATGGAGAAAAGAACAAAAACGTCTTTGAGGAAATGAACCACTTTGCGTCGAACTGATAGTTTACTCTGCTTTATACACTTGGTGCATTTATTGTTTTCACTTCTTTTTAGCATACTTTGCCCACCAGATCTTACTTTGTGGCCCTTTGGACACTAATATGGAAAATTTTTAGAGGGAAACTGTTCTATCACTGAATCATTGTATCTTATTTGATAAATCCTGGACCTCAGTTTCCTCAGTTGTAAATGAACATAAGCCATTTCAGCCCTGAAATCTTAAAATTCTAGAAAACTTAGGACCTCATCATTGCTTTATACTGTTTCACCTGCTTCCTCTGTGTATGTGCTTTGGTAGGGGATAGGTTATGCTACTGAGAATAGCACAGATCTCTTCCTTTTGGCTCTCTCTTGTTCTTGGTTCACCTGTCAAAAGTCATGGGCATGGGGGTAACTCAAATGCCAAGGTAGAACGTTAACATTGAGTGTAAAAGTGGAATTACTTATTTTTTCAGCCACTAATTGTTGAGCCTTACTATATGCTAGGTCCTGAGGTGGGCGATGGGGATACTGTGGTGAACGAGAGGCACACCATCTTAAAGCTGATCTTGTAGTGGGGAGTACAGATGTAAGGGGAACACAGTGCTGTAGCCTGATAGCAGCTGTAGTGGGGAAGCATGGATGCTGTGGAAGCACTTAGGAAGCCACATGTTTAGCCTTGGAATAGAGGAAACAGCTTCTGGAAGGAACAGTTGAAGCTGAGAGCTGAAAGATGAGTAAGAGTTGGTCAAATGCAGCCGGGGAAGCT